AGAAGAAGGCGTCAGTCTCTTCTCCCAAGTCCCAGGTGATGGGACAAGAAGAAACGGCCTCAAGTTGCGCCAGAGGAGGTTCAGATTGGAGATTGGGAAACATTTTTACACAGAAAGGGTTCTTAAGCCTTGGAATGGGCTGCCCAGGGAAGGGGTTGAGGCACCATCCCTGGAGGGATTTAAAACCCAGGTTGCCATAGAGCTTAGAGACATGGGTTAGTGATGGGTTTTATCAGAGTTAGGTTGATGGTTGGACTAGATGATCTTAAAGATCCCTTCCAACCTAGACAATCCTATGATTCTATAAATATTTATTTACACTCATTACGTTGTTTCATTGTGAAGGGAAGCGCAGACGAGCAGCTTGTATGAATCACACCAATTGATCCACAGCCAATGAAAGTCAATAATTCAGGATTTCTCCAATAAACTCAGCAGGTCATGAGTGCAAAGTTTATGTCAACAGCCTAATGATAGTCATTCTGTGTACAGAGAGCCAAGGAAAGAGACAAATATTTACTTTATGTAAACTATTGCTGAGCATGTTACTTAGGGCAAGAAAGCCCTGTTCAGCTCGGATAATAATAAGACCCAGATGTCAATGAGAAATTTGTAAAGCTTCTTTTGGAGCACATAAACATAATACAAAGTGCAGAACCACCTACACGTAAACATTTTTTTTTTCCTATGTTTTTTTAAAGGCATGATTTGATGTGAATGCCAAGAACTGAAAAATGCTGATAACTGCCTAGATAAACTGCCTGGAAGAATAAACATGACTTTTGCAACAGAATACAGCAAGTCACAGGGAGGACTCTATCATTCAAAATTCAGCAGGGTTAGCATTCAGCTTTTATGACTTTTGTTCTGTCCACAATCTTGGTACCAGGATGTTCAGGACTGTGTTCCGAGCACCTTCTGTTCACTAACTGAATTTGTGGCTGAAGATGCAAAGCAACGTGGAAAAAGCAGCCAGGCTAATCAATGTAAATCAAGATACATTATCAGGTGTAATTAAAGGCCAAGTACATGTACCACAAGGCAATACCAGACAGAATAAGAGAGACTACACTTTTGTGTACAGATACATGCTTAATTGTCATTTGAGCAAAGGAGAAGTGATGAAGTAATTTATTAAGACACCAATATAACATATCTTTCATGCTCCCCCACAAACCCCAGCAGAAGAGGGTACTCTATTTGCGCAACTTTCATGAACAGGGGAGAAAAACTGCAAAAGCTCTCCATAGTTCAAATAACACTGTATTTGGGTGAAGAGGAGGAAGGTATAGTATTCCTTACCTTTTTGTACACATGCAGTGATAGGAGCAGCAAAAGGGACTAAAACCTTCCATCAGAGTTAGTAAAATTTCAGAATTCTAACTCACAGGAACTGCTGAGATTTCAGAACTTCTGCTCTGTTTCACTCTAAAGCAAGATCCAAGTATTTCTTAAAAGTTTTGGTGAAACAGTGACCAAATCCTATCAATCTGCAGAATATGCAACAGAAATTTAAAATACTGAATGAAATATTTTGATTTTTTTTTTACATTCTGTCACAACACATAGTTTGATCTACAAATTACATTACAGATATCAAACTTCATTTTAACAAGCTAAACAGCTGTCATTTTGATCAAGAAGGGGTTTCATCTCGTACTGTGCACTAATCAGTAACTCATGGTTTTAAATATAAGGTTTTAAATACTCCCTTTTGTTGTCTGTCCCATTTTAAAATGAAAACAGTAGTCAGACATTCTAGGACTTGGAAATGAAAGCAACACTTCTACCGAAACAACTGCCCCAACATCACACAGGTTCACTAAAATGTTAAACTAAAACCCAGAAGTTCTCGAACAATTTCAAAGACAGACATCTGAATGGTCCCCCTACAATTTCCCACCATTCTTTCAGTTTGTTTCCTCCTTCTCTGTAGGAACTGTCCATAATTACACAATTTCCTCAAGAAGAACATGACCTGGTCAAAACCCTTTTCCTGATAGGAAACAGAGTGAAATTTTCTAACTAATCTTTCTAATATCTCTTACAGAGACGTGGTAGAGCTCAAGCCCTCTGCTGGAGGGCTGCTGAGGCTTTTGGTTTTATCTGCACGCTCCACAGAATCACAGAATTATACGGGGATAGAAGGGACCTCTGGAGATCATCTCGTCCAACCCTCCTGCCAAAGCAGGTCCACCCAGAGCAGGTTGCACAGGAACGTGTCCAAGCAGGTTTGGAATGTCTCCACCACCTCTCTGGGCAACCTCTTCCAGGGCTCTGCCACCCTCACAGGAAAGAAGTTCCTCCTCATGTTGAGGTGGAACTTCTTGAAGTTTGTGCCCATTTCCCCTTGTCCTGTCACTGGGCACCGCTGAAAAAAGACTGGCCCCATCCTCTTGACACCCACCCTTTAAGTATTTATAGACATTGATCAGATCCCCCCTCAGCCTTCTCTTCTCCAGACTAAAAAGACCCAAGTCCCTCAGCCTTTCCTCCTAAGAGAGATGCTCCAGGCCCCTCATCATCTAAGCAAATTCCTCATTGAAGAGGTTGTCTGACTGGTGCAGATAACAAACTTTTCTCCTCCAATCTCTCTGAGGGTCACTGCTTTGTCTGCAGATTTGTAGAAAGTAAGTTACTGCTTCCCCATTCCTCAGTGAATAATTTAATCCATGAGCTGCTTTCTTGACACTATTTAACCAACTGAAGAACATCTCAAGGTATTTTTTTTTTCTTTTTGCATACAGCCTGTAGAATGGTACAGCAGAAGACACCTGCACTGTTCCTCTAAAGCCACAATTACTCATTCCCAGTTCCTCTTATATAAAAAGGAATTTAGAGATATAAATATGTGCTGTGGGGAGACAGAGGAGAGGTCAGCCCTCAGAAGAGCAGAGCAGCAATACTCAGCAGGCTGGAGAACCCTGGAAAGCAGTGATCTTAAGGAGACAGTGACAAGATGGACACTGGATAAAGCATAATTTTAGCAGCAAAAGGCCTGAATACCAGAGGGTCAATTCATCTTGCTGTGACTCCAAACATTTTCATCTTAAATCCACAGTTTATTTCTCTGCACTCTATTACTAAAAGGACCTGTGGGAAAGGAAGAAGAGCTCATTTCTGCAATAGTTAGACTGAAAGATTTGAAGTATATACCTCTTCACTCCTCAGTAGCTACAGGGAGAATTTATATCATTCATGGTTTTGCAGCACTGGGAGTGTCTAGCTCTCAGCAGCTGACTTCAGGCGATGAAAACATTTAAACCAAGCATCAGGAAAATACTGCTTATAACATAGTCTGATGTTGTGGAATAGAAAGCATGAGATCCCTATTACCTCAGGCACTTAAAAATCAGATGGAAAAGAAATTTAGTAAACTTTGGGAATAGGAACTTTTGCATTAACAGGCAAATGAGTAGGGAAGAATATTAGGCTAGGAAAATCACGCAGGAACGTGTTCCCAGAACAGTCTCCAAGACTCCAGTGGTCTAAGGAGACTTGCATAACCCCACTTGATCTTCATTCCTGGTAAAGTAAGGAGTCCTTGCAGCAGTAGTGAGATTCTGCAGTGTCCTGTATCAGTGGGGGTTATCCTTCCTCCGTCTGACTTCTGATCTGACTTTTACAGGGTAGGATATTTAAAGAACCAAGGCTTCCGGTAGTAGAAATGAGCATAGATCCACCAAAACCGAAATTGTGTGTCAAATAAATATTTGTTCTTGTAGTTCTTGTAGTTTTAATGAGCTTCTGCTTATTAATTTATCACTGTGCTTGTAGTTTTAATGAGCTTCTGCTTATTAACTTTTATGTGCCAAAATTCGGTTCTCTTCTGTCTGGATCTCACTCACTGCACTGTCATTCATTAGCTCCAGAAAAATATTTTCACCTGATGCAACAGATTTATCTCCAGTGTATATGTAATATATTGTATTTCTGTCACTGTTCACACATACAGCAACATTTCCCTCATTCTAATAGCTGGTTCCAGTTTGTTTCCTTAATTAATACAGTGTTACATATTTCTCATCTGCACTTACAGCATTTGTGAGTGATAACTAATCTGTGGGTTTTTTCTCCTACTGAAATAGTTCCCTAGAGCTTTGTCTCTTGAGATGCACCATCTATTCTATGGCAGTGTCAGTTAAAAAGGAAAAAACAAACAGTCTGAGTGACATTAAAGTCTTCATGTGCAGTATCTACTTCTCTTCAACAATTTCTAATGCTCCTGTCACATAGTTATCTAGGGGTCATTTAAATAACAAACTCAGACTGTTTTTGATGAGAGAGTAAAAAAAACTCTTTTTGATATATGCATCATTGCCCATAATGGAAAAGTATGACATTTTTTAAGCTTTTTCACTTTTCTCAAAATTACATGTAAACTTTTAAATCAGTGTTCTCTCTCTCCAATTAAATTTGAGGCTGTGTCTTCCAGAGATGCTGAGGGGTTTGGCTCTGTTACAAGAACCTGTGATCTGCGATTACAGGCTTTTCACTAATAGCCCGTAGCTGGTAAAACTAAACATTTAACTGACATAAAACCAGACATTTAACTCACGAGACCTGAAAAGGAGAATGTGCTCAGACGCTTACCAGGAGGAATCTCTGTAAACTTGAACAAGCATCACATTGAGAGAGCCTTTGCAGTCACACCGTGCCTGGCACCTTCCTGAGGTGTCGCTCCATGGCGACACGCACATCTGTCCTCATTGCTCTCTGCTACCTTTCTTTGATGTGACACACCCCCCAAAAAATTCACTATTGGGAGAGAGAAGGCGTGAGAGGCTGCCTTGCAGCTGGGGACCCAACATATTTTCCCTTTCCCAGAATGAATGGCAATTTAAGATCCTGACTCGCAGCAGCTCCCCTACATGAAAGGAGGAACAGTAAGCGGCAGAGAAAACGAAGATGTGGAATGTAGTCTCTTTCCATATTAGGAAAGCATATCTTCAAATTAACCCTTACTCTCAATTTATAGGCAGGATTTGGAGAAGTCTTACCTTCTATGATCTGAGCTGCTGAGCCAGCATGGATTGACAAGCCAAAGAGCAGGAGCAGCAAGTCCCAGGTCCACCAGGCGTGCCTGGAGCAGGTGTGCCAAAAAAAAAAAAAAAAAGGAAAAAAAGGGGGGTGAAGAGTGGGAAAGAATGAAACCAAAGAGTGTAATACAGAAGCACAAGAGGGAAAAAAAAAAAAAAAAGAAAAAGTAAGATTTAGAAGTGAGAGTTCTTACCATGAGAGCATTTTTCGAAAGTCAGTTGAAAGACCTCGAGTGAGGAAAAAGTTCAGCGCACATGAGTTTTATGCTTAAGAAAATAAGAAGTTAATAAAAACTGGAGCCTGCTGTTTCTCCTCCAACGTTTCAGACACAAGTGGAACAAAGGCAGCTCTCAGGCTCTCTGTGTGACTCACTGCAATTTAGTGCTCCGGCTCTGAAATCTGACTCCCCGTAGACTTCCCTGTCAGACCCGCTGCCGAAAACTTCCTACTTGACTTATGGATGGACACCCCTTACTGCTGTGCATCACCCCAATGTCATCACTACCCAGCCTTGCCTCTAACCACTGGGGACCCTGGCAGATAGCAGCGTAGCTTCTCCAACTCCCCCCAACCCCCCCATAACCTCCACTTAACCAATAAAACATGACCTCCAACGCCCTTCCATCCAGCATCATATAGCCAACGATATGAGTTCTGATATGAATTGGACGTTTTTCTGGCCACTTTAACCCCACTTGAACAGAAGCAAGCTTTAAGATATGAGCAGGATAGAGCAGTCACTGTTCGATTACAATATATACCTGGGAGTTGTAGTGTCTTACAGATTTTCTGTCGCCTATAGAGACAATTCAAAGCACACCCTTTTCTCTGACAGATTCTCTAATACTCATATTTGCAAAGATTTACACCCTCCATGTAGATTAAGAGGGTGTATCTACCTCGGGAGCTGTACATATATGTGTCTGCTATAGAGTTCCTGTAGCTGAGAAACTATTTCTAATAGTTTCCATTAAAAGTGTTATTTCACCCCTCCCTTCCCAGCCTCATGAAAAGCCTTTTTTTTTTTTTCACATGTAGCTCCTCAAAGCCAATTCTTGCTGAAGGAAGAATTTTTGGAAGAATAAACTTGAGATTAATCAGACAAATTTTAAGTCATGAGATTTTTTTAAACAAAAACTGCAATTGTCACTTTTTTTTTTTTTTTAACTGGGACAGGAGGGAGCTTGGAAGGCACTGCATGTGGGAAGAGATCGGTGGCCTCTTGGTAGATCGAGGCTGGAAGGTGTTGAAGATCACCTTAGGAGATTCCAAACTAAAAAAGGATTTACCTAGGATGGGGCGCGGGGGACAGACAGGAGTAAAACTTTTGGCAGTAAAGAAATGACAACCACAAGCAATAAAGAGAAAGAAGAAGAATTTCATAGCACCTTAGATACCTTTGTGGTGGGCTTTTTTTTATTTTGTTTTGGTTTATGGGGGGGATTTTTTTTGTTTTAATTAAATAAGGAAATACAGAGGTAAGGGCTTTACTAGAGTCTTGATCCTGCCCCAGACTCCTCTTTTAGGTTAGAAACCACAACAGGTCAACTCTCCTCAGGTATATTTTTAGCTGAGCCACAGAGCAGCATTATTCACTACCCACCTTCTGCTTAATAATAAGGAAGCAAGAGATCAAAGTGTATTTTAATCAAGTTTCTTATTATAAGCGCACACTGTTTTATCTTCTTCAGAGGATGCAGGACTATCCTTTATCTGCTCAGTAGTACTGTATTGGGACTGAAAAATATTTCATCATTCACCTTTTCTACACGAGTCTGTCAGCTCTTTCCTTTCTCTCCCCCAAAATCTTTCTCCCTCAGTGCTGCTTATAGGAACAGTGCCTGCAACATTTCTGCAAGTCATACACCAAAAGCATTTCTTTTATGCCTTTATCTAGGACACTAGACAGGTGTTATCCCAGGAGAAAATCCTGGATTTTTAATTGTTCTTGTAAAATGTATGTATTTACAAGCCTGGCTCACTTTTCCATTTTTTTTTCAGGTAATCTTTAGCAATAACTACCAGGGGTCCTTATTAGTCCAGTCAAATTATTTTTTAACTCAGTTCCTTCTTTCAATAGTAATTCTTCTATCTCTCCATACATAACATGTCAGAGGCATACCTGTATAATGCTTTCTCTAGCACTATAGTTTTGGTCTGGTATATATGGCCAAAACATATGTCTGCTTTGATGCCTTACAGTAAACTAAAGTATTTAAGAGACAAATGTATGATCAGACTCCAGATTTATAAAATTTAAATGACTATTTATTAAGGATTTTTTACAGTATAAGGTGCGAAGATTTCATTGAAGAATAACGTTTCTTCTATTATTTACAATTCGATGGATTTTTCCTCTGATTTTAGAAAATTCATAGGAAAAAAGGGAAGTAATGCCTCTCCTTTTCCCGTCGGTAATACACTGTTCTGGCAGATGATCTACATGAAATGTTGCTGAGACAGTCTTTAGATTCTGCTGGATATATTAACATGCTTCTCTGGCCAATGTTGAATATTTTTAATGCTACTGGTTAAAGGAAAACAAGGCAAAGAACATTCTTGACCTCTGCATTCCGTTAGTTTTAAATGGACAGCAGTGGAGGAATCTCTAAATACAGTTTATTACTCCCACTTCTGGAGGGCCGTGAGTTTCTAAGTGTTCGCTCGTAGTCCTAAGAATTACAGAATATTAAGAGGCTCTCTACATCTGCTCTATCTATCTTTCTTCCTCCCCGCAAAGGCAGTGACATTTGTGCACATCCACTCAGTTTTAAGAAGCAGTATGCACCAGGGCCTAAGCGAGTTGAGAACCGTGCTAGAAAAGAATAAAAGATTTCTTGTTTGCTTAGACCTCTCCTGAGCACGTATAAGTGTTTGGCATTCACAATGTCCCCTGGCAAGGAGGGCTGCTGCTCAGATATGCCTTTCATGAAGAGGTCTCTGCTTCTTTGTTTGTGACTTGGGCCCTGCTGGTGTTCTTTGATGCCTCCAAGTTCTTGTACTGAAGAGGGATCATCTATTCAGTGCCCATTCAGTGCTACAAAGATGATTAAGGGCCTGGAGCATCTCTAACCATTCTATGATTCTATGATTCTATGTTACCTGGCACCAGGTGGCAAGGAAACCAAGGATAAATGTTTAGACATAAATATTTCCCCTCTACAATCTCTGGCTCAGTCTTTTGCTTAGGCAGCATGACTAGAAGAGGAAAAACACTGTGATACTTCTGCTCTAAGCAAGCATCCAATGAAACCTACTGGCAAAGCATGTCTTGTGCAATACTCTAATAATTCAAGTGGTGTATGCCGTGAATCAGGATATTTCAGTACTGTTGATGGCACATACAAGTGTCAGTATGCCCCTATCAATTTTTGTTTTCCAGGACCAGAGGAAACGGTCTGAAGTTGAGGCAGGGGAGGTTTAGATTAGATATTAGGAAGAATTACGTTACTGAGAGGGTGGTCAGGCCCTGGAACAGCCTGCCCAGGGAGGTGGTGGAGTCACCATCCCTGGAGGTATTTAAGAAACGTGTAGATGTGGCACTTCAGGGCATGCTCTAGAGATTGTTGGGGTGGGGTGTTTTTTTTTGTGTATGGTTGGACTCAATGATCTCAAAGGTCCCTTCCAACCATGAAGATTCTGTGATCCTGTAATTCTATGATTTGTGTTCTAAAATGCAGAAACATGAGAGCTATTAACCAATGATTTGACAGAGTCGCAAAAATTATTGTTTGCAGAAATGGCTGAACTGCTTCTGATGAAGTTTATGGTATTGGCATGAGACACAAAACTCAGAATTCAAAATGCTCAGTGTTCAGAAACTGAGCGAGCAATTGAAATTATGCAATAATTTCATGTGGGACAACTGTAAAACTAAGTATAAGTAGATGTTCTGCTTGTAATTTAAACTCCCTTGCATGTTGACACTGATCCTATTGCTATATTAAATTAATTTATCATTAGCAGAAGGGTACATAGTCTTAAAGGGTACTTAAAATATACATCCTAACTATATTAAGTACATGCATTGCACTGAAAGGCTCCATTCAGACTAAATGTCATACATTCCATTTACATGAATAAACCCAGAAAGAACTATATGCAGCACTTTCCCTGTCTGTCTCCATGTTCAGCTGAGATGAAGAAACCTTTTCTGCTCCACACACACACAGCCTACGGCAGGGCATGGAAAGTAAAAAGCTTCAGGAGAATCCCTCTCCCCATTCCATGCAATCTAACTCAACTCAAATATTTCCCTTTTTAAAAATATTTATAGAGCTTGACCCAAGGAGTGATCTCACCAGTTTTCACGCTGCTGTCGTGGTTGAGCTCCAGCCAGAGGCAAAGGACCACGCAGCCTCTCGCTCAGCCTGCCCCCAGCTGTGGAATGGGGTAAAGAATGGGAAGAAAAGGCAAAACCCGTGGGTTGAGACGAGGGCGGTTTAACAGAACAGCAAAGGGAAGAGGAAAACAACAATAACACGGATAGAGGAATGTACAGACACAATTATGATGCCACCACTCACTGACCAGACCAGGGGATGCCCCTTCCCATGGCAAGCTCCTGGTTAGGCATGGCTTACACAGGATGGAATACCTGTGTCCCTGCCAGAGCCTGGGGAGAATTAACCCTATCTCACTGGAACCAGGACAACTGCCTTCAGATAAGCTTGTAAAAAGCATGCTCTCCTACACCGGAACAAACCTCTTGTCCCACATAAAGTAGGGGTTTTCAGAAAAGTAAAATCTTACTTTGTGAGCCAATCATGAGGTGATGCAAATGACAAGTCTTTAATCACCGTTAGATTATTGTTTCTAATTTCTACTTTGTAAATCATCATGACAACATGGACCGGACTGATTATCCACCTTCATCTACTTTGTGAGCCAATCACAAGGTGATGCAAATGACAAGTCTTTAATCAGATTATTGTTTCTAATTTGTACTTTGTAAATCATCATGATAACATGGACCGGACTGATTATCCACCTTCATAGGTAAAATGAGTACAAGTACTTTGCGTAGATAAAGAAAAATCTGGCCTTATTGAAAAAAGGTTTTCAGATGCCTACAGTGTGAGGGTTTTGCCCAACATACGTGCCCTTAGATTAAGATAATGATGGGGATGAGACCTGGCATTTATACCATGTGCATGACAGCAAAGAACACAGCAACATTTTTTTTCCAGATCTGGTTGTTACACTCAGAATCTTGTTTCTGAGCAAAGAGGCAGCACGCCTCTTATATTGTAATAAATAAACCCAAAAGTTCTGGCAGAGGTGGGATTCAGCTCAATAAGTAGGGCAAAGGTATCTTTGCCACCAGGATGGCTGACCCAGGAAGAAAGGATTGAAACTAGGAATGACAGTGGAAGGAGAGAGCTACTAGCAGCCCTCTGAGGGAGGGATGGATAGGGTAGATAAGCAAAGAGCAGGGGGTGATCCTTCTCCTCTGCTCAGCACTGGTGAGGCTGCACCTGG